ATATTCTAAGACTGGGTAACTTATTCTTATAGTTTCTAGTTATTTTTGCTCTTCGCTTGCTATAAGTTTGATCATGTGACAAAAAAGACTCATTCAGATGGGAAAATAAGCTGAGTTGAAGCTTGTAGCCAACTAAATCGCATCAAACCATGCATTCCTTTTTCTTTTTTTTAATATCCCTTTTATTCACCAATGTCAATGGTCTAAAATCCCAAGGTGGGTTATGTGAGTTGCAGAGTATGTGCAACAAACATTACTCATCCATCTGTAAGTGGGTGAATAGAACATCAAACTTGCAGCAACCATCCATTAGGGGAGCTTAACACAACCATGTATTAGAAGAGTAAACAAATTCATTGGAATTACGTAGGTTGAAAGGATCTGTCCAATGATCAAATTGCAGACACTAATAACCAATGCTAAAGATAAAACTACCTTCAGATGAGTCATTCAGCAAGTAACATTACACTAAATGATGGAAGAAACACTACACTGAAGTGAAAACCACCAAGCACTGGAACATTATGCATGGCAAACTTAAGAATGACATGGGTATGCAACCACGAGTTATTAGACCTCATTTCCAGCGTTGTTATAGGTGTGGTAGGTCAATAGCCTCGAGCAGTCATTGGCATACACACTCTCTTCATATAAAGTTTAAATAAATGCTTATATAGACATCCCACAACATTATGAAAAATACAACTACTATTACTATTTTTCAAGTCACATTATAAAACATATAAAGTTGAGTATAGTCATTCAATACACGTTATATTATTTAAATTTTATAATCAACCTATTGAATTAGGATCATTATGAACTATCAATCTATCGCAAATGTTCAGAAAGGAAGGAAGAAATATAGGATGCACAGGATTTGACCAAATTACATGTCATATAAACAAGCATGTAATAATGTATGTGTACATGTAAAATAAGCAGGATTTATGTTGGTTACGTACTTATCAAAGAATAAAAGGAAAACAAGTTCTAGAATAGCTAAATCTCATTCAGTAGTTATTGAAGCATCCTCCTTCCAGATAAGGTTACTGTAACCAAAGTTTCTAGCAAAGCAAGAAATCAACTGCTCCTGTACTATTTCTTCAGCAGGAAGCTCAAGATCAGTCTCCCTTCTCAAAGATGTCACTTCTTTATCTGTAATTCCACATGGAACAATGTGCCTAAAGTAGCTCAAATCAGGATCAATGTTAAATGCCATCCCATGAGATGTGATTCCATTCGATATCCGAACACCAATTGCGCCTATCTTCCTAACTCCAACCCAAACCCCTGTTTCACCGGTTTGTCCAGGACAAGCTTTCACACCATATAAAGCTGCAAGCTCAATCATAGTCAACTCAATTTTTTCTACATAACTGCGAGCACCAACTCCCATGTCACGCAGTGATATAATAGGATACAAAATGGCTTGGTGTGGACCATGAAATGTAATATCTCCTCCCCGTTGCGTGTAGTGAAGTTCAGCTCCAATTTGTTCCAAGTCTGACTGGGGGATTAGTAAATTGTGAACAGTTTGCCTTTTACCAACGGTATATGTAGGTGGATGTTGCAAAGACAGAAGAGTATCACATCTCCTATGAGATTTTCTATCCAAAACCAGCTTTTCCTGAAGTTTTAATGCATCCAAATAGTTGACAACTCCCAGTTTCCAGACCTCGAGGGTTCGCAAAACCCTGCTCATTCCCTGTTGATGATAACATCATCAATCCATTACCTTTTTTCATTTCAGAATTTAAAAATTATATTTCATGCCATAAGATTTAGAAACAACTTCTGTAAGACTACAGCACTGAAAAGCCCACAGCAGATAAAGAAGAAGAAAACATACAAATAGTTTTAGCAAATAGATCCAACTCCAAGCAAAAAATACCACTAATTTACCATAGGCCGGTCAAAGAACTTAAGTTACAGTCTATATTATGTATCCTTTTATGTTATGGCATAACACATTCTGAAATAAGTACCTCCATAATAAATCCAAATTTTCCAATGTATACAAAAAGGTGAAGGAAACATTTCAGCAAACATTTAAAGGGCATTTTCAGAAAACCCACAGATTTGAGAAAAGCCAGATTCTTTCGATAAAAACCTTCACAAGAGTGAAATGGGCATTCATCAGTGAACAAAATTTCAATGTAGATATGCATGTTGACCTCACAAATGGCGTCAATATGAAGTAGGTGTTGGTTTAGTTGAGTTAAAAAAGTGATTTTGAAATATGAAGAGCAATTAATATCAATTTAAGAAGATATAATTATGAAGATTGTGAGGATTAATAAGGCAATGGAAAAAGTGAACCTGATTGTGAAAGTGCTGCTACTATCGCTTAAATAGATGAGATGGGTTAAAAGATGATGAAGCATGAGAAGATAGTAATAAAACAACTAGATATTCACATCAGGATTTACAGAACATTCCAACTAGAGTAATGAAGGTTCACTTTACACTTTTTATTCCTTAATCATTGTTTTTGTTTTATGGTAATATTTATTAAATTTTTATACCTATTTCACATCTTAGTTATTAATTATAAGGAAATCCAATGATTTGAATTAATGAGTAAATCTAAACCATTAGATTTTTTAGAATTAATAATTGAGATATGAAATAAATTTAAAAAACTTATAAATGGATCTCTCCTCAACTCAATTAATGAATCAACAATTGTTTTTCCTGTACTATCACAAATACCCTTGCCAGATGTATGATTGTATATTCTTCCCAATAATTTTCTATCTTTAAAATCAAATTCTTAATGTTCTAGATTTTTTATTTATAATTAATGATATTTTACACCACTAGATTAATATAATATTGACACTTAATGAATCAAGAATGTGATTTATTTTAGTTTTTTAATATATATTTTAAAAAATGAAATCCTAGGCTAGGTTTTTAGACTATTTCCTCATTTCCTTTTTCTAGAAAACAAATTTGTACAAAAATAAGATGAAGAGTACTTATATTGAGAAAGAGGTCATTCTTCTCTTTTTGTTTGGCCCTCAGCTGTATAAACAATGAGATAAAAAAAATACTTTTACAAAAAATAAAAAGTCAAAGCTGAAAAATAGAGTTTTTGGTTGCTTTTTTTGTTGAAATAATGATACTAAACAATAATTATTAATGACAAATAATATGAGTGATTTTAGAACTGTATATCCAGAAATATATAAATAATATTATATTCTATGAGGAATTTTTTTTACTTTAAATATTAAAGTACATCAATCAAACCCAATGAATATTTTGATAAACTTTAAATCATTCAATATGATAAAGAACTAGCATGAATATGTTGTTCCTTATACGGATATTATTCAAATTCAGGTAGACACTAGAAATGACAACTGATTGATTGGGCTCTAATTTTACCATCATTAACCCAAACCAGAATCCCTAATTTTAAACTCTTTCTGGTCGAAAAATTAATCTCATCCTCACGAGAGAAATTTAGTAAAACTCATATATAATAATAATTTTATTAATATCTAAGGGGTGTGTTTGGGTAAAATAAAGACAAATTTAAACCTAGACAAAATGAGTTTGCTCACCAAATATTCCAAACAAGTTTAAACAAACATGGATTAAAATCATATTGTTATTCCTAATAAAATCATCATAACCTCCTCTTTTCATGTGATACATTTAGTATAAGTTAGGTATAATATTATGAAACGTGTGTTTATTATAAGTGTTTTAAACAATTAAACTGTCTACTTGGATCGAGTATAATAATTTATATATATAAATATATAATTATATATAAATGTAAAATTTTATATAATTACTAATTTTATATAACTATATTGAAATAATATATCTCCATCTTTTTTGGACTGAAATAAAACAAAACGTTAGAGTAATATTTCATTTTTTTAAAATTTTAAGTGAACCGTCAGGCTCACTTTCCGGGTTATTCCGGTTTAGCCGGTTTTAACATTGTCGAATTGAAATTTTTCGGTTCAAAGCAGTTCAACTATTAATTCGGTTAAGACTATAAACCAGAGTTGTTTTCAAGTCTGGTCAGACATCTGACCGGTCGGACCGTCCGCTCCATTCCGATTATCACAATACTGCTATTACTACATCATCTATCATTTGCTTAACTATCATTATCCCTTAAAAAAAGTAAAGTAATATAAATAAATAATGAATAATATAATAATCAGTATATAAATCTTTATAGTTAAAATAGATACCTATTTAAATTATTCATTGACATTATTTCAAAAGAAGGGCCCAGACACCAGTCATATTCTTCATCTGTGGTAGCTTGTTCAGTTGAGTGACATGTGTAAACACTTCCAATCATAGTCCCACAAGTTTTTATATAATACAATAAAATATTCTATAAAACTAAACTCTTGTGAGGCAGTGAAGCAACATTTTTTATTACAACAATATCCTAGATGCCTATATTTTATATTTTGTTTGTGGGACTTACTTGATTTGACATTGACATATAATTTATAATTTTATATTTTTTCTTTGCATGGAAGTACAACATACTAAAACAATTTAGTTTTCTTATGTATTCAGTTGAAAAAAATAAATACATTTTAAAAGCAAGAAAAGTAAAAAATGGAATTTGATAGGTATTTATTTTACTATGAAAAGATTGATTATAAATTTTTAATAGGATTAATTATGATTTCATTATTTTAAAATAATAACATACTATAATTTATATGAATATAATATTTACCTTTATGAAAATATTAAATATGAATTATATAGAATGTAGTAACGGTTATATAATTTTTTTTTTCCAATTTTGATTTGGATATAGAGAAAAATAGAAAAGGTGGCGTTGAGAATAAGTTGAAATAAAAAGAAAGCCGTTTTGGGTTAATCTTGAAGTTGAAAAGTTTGAGAAAGAAAGAAGAATGTTTTCTTGAATTGGTCACGCAGGTTCCTAACTACTACTCTCTCTTTTTTCTTTTCCTTCTTTTTCCATCAACTAACTCTCATAATACTGTCCTTTTTCGTTTCATGCATCATACACAGTATATTTTTCATACACTTATATTTTAATAAAGGCGAGAGTTCGCGCATCGGTAAGGTTGTTTGTCTTGTAATATGTGTTCACGGGTCGAAATAGTTCGGGCAATGTTCCCGCTGTTACCCTTCACTAGGTTGGAGTCTTGTATACTAGACCATCATTTTTTACTATTAGGTTTCCATAGGTACCTCATCCATTTTAACTGAAATATTCTCCTTCTTATGACTGTTATATTCCAATTCAGAATGATGGGAAAACATCATTGTTTAATGTTATTGCAGTATGTAACCACAATCAGGTTTTGTACATGAGTATTTTCTATTTGAATGAGTTTATTTATGTTTAAGACTGTTGGGTATAGTGAAAACATGACCCCTATGGTACACAATCTTTCTTTAATCTCTATTTTAATGAGTTTATTTATGTTTGGTTCTATTTTCACACAAGATTGGTGGTTAATTTTGTTTCTCTGGAAATTTACTTGATCAAGTTGTTTAAACATCTGCATGTGGGATTTAATATGAAAAAGATAACTAAAGGGAATGTGATAATAAAGTTAAGGGATCTTGGAGGGGAACCACGGTTCCGCAGTATGTGTGAGAGAGATTGCTATGCCATTACAGCTATTTATTGTGTATGCCTTCTAAGCATTTTTTTGTCATTGCATCAGTGACTGATATCATGTCTTTTCTTATCCAATGGAAATTTCATAGACCTTTCTTGCTGTAAGATGTCAAAGCCCTGCCTTTAGTCTCATCAGGTTCGATAATTTCTGCTGTGAACTTTCAGTTCTTAAGAAATAGGATTGGGGAACATCAATTTCAACTAAATGGTATAAGATTATTGACGTGGAAGAAAGCAACCATGTTAGTTAGTTTATTTTATTTGCAATTAATATGTTTCCTCTATTGAATTTTATGAGTGATTGTTCAATTTAATCTACTAACTAAGCTCCCATTCAACATCCTACTGCAGACCTCATCTTGCAGCTATTTGACTATGATTTGTTGCGACCGGCATGAACTCTTGTCATCTGCCGATGTTACAATGTGTCATGTAACTTCCAAGAAGCAAAGTCAGTAAAAATAGTGACCCGTCATCAAATTGTATGCCACATCAACATCAAAGTGGGGACTAATTGCATCAATCAGAAAACTATTAGCGTAATATTGTTAAGATTGCCAAATGTGTTCAATTAACTTTATACTTTGGTTTTTCATGCTTTTTAGAGAACTTTCATTTTAGACTATCTATGTGGTCAGGTATTTAAGGTATGGTTAACTTTTTATGTTCAAACTTGCAGTTATGTTGTTGATGCAGCTGATTATGACACTTTACCTGTCTCTAGAGATGAACTTCATGATTTGTTATGCAGGCCTTCTTTAAATGGTATCCCCCTGCTGGTCCTTCGTAATAAGATCGATAAAGCAGGGACTTTGTCTGAGCAAGACTTTACAGAACAAATGTGAGTCTTTTGCCTGGATGTATAAGATAGACAGATCTAGCTGCTGAATATGATGTGACTAAATCAGGAAGTTTGGTTCAACATTTTCATTTAAACAAGGTAGAAATTAAAATCAAATTAGCCCATGTCAAATAATTCATAATTGTTGATTTAATACCATCTCATGCTTCACTTTACTAACCTTAAGCATACATAGTAAGTGATGCATTTTTATCTGTCTGCACCTGCTAACATGGCTGATTTCAAATAATTCCATGTCAGATAATTTTTTGGTGCTAATTTATTACTATCTTATGCTTCACTAACCTTAAGCATACACACTATGCATCTGCTTAATGTGGCTGATTTCAACATTTTAAATTTTTAGAACGTACTTGTACTTTTCTTTAAATAATGCTTCACGTTAGCAGGGGTCTAGATCCATCAATCTTAAGTTTGTTGCTTCATGATCTCATGTAAAAACTCAACCAATATTGATACAGTTGTTGATTGGATTGTTAAACATTCTAATCGATGATGTAAAGCTCATGTTCTGCCCTGTGAAGCTATTGGTCTTCTATATTACACACTGATAGCAAGCTTCCTGAAGTGAGCTTCTGGTGTGAGGCTAGTTTTTCCTCCCCTCTTTTAACTGCCTTATACCAAATCAGACAGCGTGTGCTTTGGATATTGGTTATCGAATATTACATCGAAGTGCTGTTAATTTTAATGCATGATAAGTGCTAAAATCTCAGTGTTTTGACTGATCCCTGCAAGCTTGTAGAGATATCAAAATCATCAGGATATATAAAAGCATTCATGTGCCATCACCCAACAGATTATGCTTTTGGGAGAGTTTATTTTTTACACTCACTAATTTGTGGAGTAGAAATTATTGGTAATGCTGCAAGCTTGCAAGTATTCCTTTCTAGCTGAGAACGTGGGACAAGTCTTTGCCAAGTCCTAAAACACTCATGAAAATACTAAATGCAAAAACAAGTTAGTGGGGACAGGGGTGTTCCGAGAATTGATCTTGGCACCTCTCACACCCGAAGCAAGAATAATACCACTAGACCAAATGTTCATGTTGAAATGACTAGGGCTAAGTCAATATTAAAATTGTTTAATCATGCTCCATGATCTATTGTTTATTCTTCTCTATGATCTGCAATTTAGTAAATAACTAGACAATGAAGGATGAGAAGAGTAACGAGTGAAGACAGTGTTTAATATTTAAATGAATAAATAAATATGTCAAAGTTGCAATTGAGGCGTAATATAGTTTCAAAATTCTATAATTGCTGTCATACACTCATACTTTGTTTTTAAGATTGATACATTTGTTGCAGAGGCTTCATGAACAACAATTCACAACTGCATTCCCCCTTGTTCTATTTGAAATAATATGGTTTATCTAACAGTATTATCTCATCTTAAAATGTAGAGATCAACTATTGTACTGAGACTTAAGATCATGTGCCAGAGGAATTTTTCAGTCTGTGATTTGCATCTTCTCCTGTTCTTTAGTAGCAGAAATGAAACTGCAATTATTCCTTTCTGACTGAAAATGCAGTTCAAGTCTTTGTCATGCATCCAAAGCGAGAATCATACCACTAGACAAAATGCCCATGTTGAAAACACAAGGGCTAAGTCAAAATCATCATCAGTTATTTTATTAAAATTGTTTACTCATGTTACATGATCTGAAGTTTTAAATTTCTTTATGCATGTGTATGGTCTGCAGTTTTATTATGGTGTCAAGGATCCATCTCAAGACCAATTGCCAATGAGAGGAGTAGTAGGCCAAAATGTATTTAAACCATGCCTAGGAGAACGAGGCAAACAATGTGGACAATGTGGACTTACTTCACAACATATTGTTTATTCATGCTGCATAACCTTTGTCCTCTCATGAAAATGAATCACTGATTGAAGATACCAATTCCTGAAGCTAACATGTTTTTTTAGGTAAGGTATCAAATAGAGTTTTTAATTTATTTATTACTCTGGTTTTTTATTTCAGTGTAATTTTTAAGATCAATTTTGACTCAACACAGATTATTCTATTTCATTTTCAGTACAGCTGCTACGCTGTCACTTGGGACTGAAAAGCTTTCAGCCAACGCTCTTCGATGTTCATGGTTCACATCGTACATCTAAAGGTATTCACATGCAGCCTCCTGATACTAATATATGCTTAAGTAAAGAAGTTAAAAATAAAACTTGTCAGCTTCTTGTTCATAAAAAAAACCATAATGCTTATTGGCATGCCACATAACCAGTTAACAAGTCGAGCTTGTCAGCTTCCAGATCTTCAAAATAACTGAAAAAGGGGGCATTCCGAGAATCGAACTCGGGACCTCTCGCACCCAAAGCGAGAATCATACCACTAGACCAAATGCCCATGTTGAAATGACAGGGGCTAAGTCAAAACCATATTTATTTCTTTTATTAAATATGCATACTGCATGATCTGAAGTTTTAAAATTGTTTATGCATGTGAGTGATCTGCAGTTTTATTATTGTTTATTCACTCAGCATGATCTTGACATGTAAAACTCTTGCAACGACTAAAATAACATGATGAAGGATGAGGAGAGTAATGAGTGAAGATATTTTTTAATAATTAAATAAATAAATCAAGATATAAAATTGTAATTAAGACTTTATACTTAATTTAGTTCATATTCATACAAAAAAACCTATAATTGTTGTCACACATTTCTGTTTAAGAATGACAATTTTAGTTGTAAAGGTTTCATGGACAACAATGCCTTACTCCTTGATCAATTTTAAATAATATAGCTGATCTAAATATATTATCACATTATAGAATGCAGGTATGATGTGGTGTGCTGAGACCTGAGATCATGTGCCACAATCTCAGCTCTTTAACCGATTCTTTAAAACTTGTAGAGATGTGGACATCAAAGCAACTGGCCAAGTGGTAAGTGCCTCATGGCTTGCTGTTATTGTGCTCAATAGTGAAGGCCTTAGTATAGCCAGAGGTAGTTCAGCCTGTTATTTGCATTTTCTCCAATTCTTTGGTAGCATGAAAAAACTGAAATTATTCCTTTCTAGCTGAAAATGCTGTTCAGGTTTTTGTGTAATAGTCATTGATAAAACAGTGATGAGAATACTAAAGCAACTGATTCCTTTCCCCTTCAAAACAACTGAAAAAGGGGCATTCCGAGAATCGAACTCGGGACCTCTCGCACCCAAAGCGAGAATCATACTACTAGACCAAATGCCCATGTTGAAATGACAAGGGCTAAGTCAAAACAATATTTATTTCTTTTATTAAATATGCATACTGCATGATCTGAAGTTTTAAAATTGTTTATGCATGTGAATGATCTGCAGTTTTATTATTGTTTATTCACACGTGACATCATGATCTTGACATGTAAAACTCTTGAAATGACAAAAATAACATGATGAAGGATGACGAGAGCAATAAGTGAAGCCAGTGTTTAATAATTAAATAAATAAATCAAGATATGAAAATTGCAATTAAGACTTTATGCATAATATAGTTGATATTTGTACAAAACTTATAATTGTTGTCACACATTTCTGTTTAGGATTGAAAATTTTGCTTGTAAAGTTTTCATGGACAACAATGAACCGCCTACTTCCTTGATCAATTTTAAATAATATAGCTGATCTAAATATATATTATCACATAATAGAATGCAGGCATCATGTGGTGTGCTGAGACTTGAGATCACGTGCCACAATCTCAGTGTTTTAACCGATTCTTGCAAACTTGTAGAGACATTGACATCAAAGCAGCTGGCTATGTGGTAAGTGCCTCATGTCTTGCTGTTATTGTGCTCAATAGCGAAGGCCTTAGTATAGCCAGAGGTAGTTCAGCATGTCATTTGCATTTTCTCATGTTCTTTGGTAGCACGAAAGAAACTGAAATTACCTTTCTGGCTGAAAATGGTGTTCAGGTTTTTGTGGAATAGTCAATGTGAATACTAAAGTAACTATTTCCTTTCCCTGGCTGAGAATGCTGTTTCAATTCTTTGTGAAGGTCAATGACAAAACACTCACGTGAACAGTAAATTAATAATGCAGAAATAAAAATGAGTAGGGGCATTCCGAGAATCGAACTCGGGACCTCTCGCACCCAAAGCGAGAATCATACCACTAGACCAAATGCCCATGTTGAATGAAAAGGTCTAAGTCAACATCATAATCAATTTAAACAAGGGCAATCCAGTGCACGAGGTAACCACATAGTGGGGTTTAGGGAGGGTAGATGTACTTAGCCTTACTCCCACAAGCGGAGATACGATTTTCCGGATTTGAACCCGTGACCTCATGGTCACTAAGCAACAACGTTGCAGTTGTGCCAAACTCACCCTCTCAAAACCGTAGTAAGTTATGTTATTAAAATTGTTTACGCATGCTACATGATCTTAAGTTTTAAATTTCTTTATGCATGCGTATGATCTGCAGTTTTATTATTGTGTCAAGGATCCATCAAAAAAACCAATTGGGAATGAGAGGAGTGACCAACATGTATCTAAACCATGCTTAGGAGAATGAGGCAAACAGTATGGGACTTACTTCCCAACATAATGTTTATTCATGCTGCATAATCTGTCCTTTCATGAAACTGAATCACTGAATGAAGCTATCAATTCCTAAAGCTAACATGTTTTTTAGGTAAGGTACCCATGGAGTTTTTTTACTACTCAGGTTTTTTATTTCATTTTAATTTTTCAAATCAATTTTGACTAACACACATTATTCTATTTCATTTTCAGTACACCTGCTAAGCTGTCACTTGGGACTGAGAAGCTTTCAGCCAATACTATTCAACATTCACGCTTCACGTCGTTCATCCGAAGGTATTCACATGCAGCCTCCCGATTCCAATACAATATTTAAGTAAACAAGCTAACTAATCAAACTTGTCAGCTTCTTGATCATCAAAAATAAAATAAAAAACCTAATGCTTATTGGCATAACCAGTTAACAAGTCGAACTTGTTAGCTTCCAGATCTTCAAAATAACTGAAAAAAGGGGCATTCCGAGAATCGAACTTGGGACCTCTCGCACCCAAAGCGAGAATCATACCACTAGACCAAATGCCCATGTTGAAATCAGAAGGGCTAAGTCAAAGCAATATTTATTTCTGTTATTAAATATGCATAGAGCATGATCTGAAGTTTTAGAATTGTTTATGCATGTGAATGATCGGCAGTTTTATTATTGTTTATTCACTCATCATGATCTTGACATGTAAAACTCTTAAAATGACTAAAATAACATAGTGAAGGATGAGGAGAGTAATGAGTGAAAACGGTGTTTAATAATTAAATAAATTATTTAAGATATGAAAATTGCAATTTAGACTTCATACATAATATAGTTGATATTTATACAAAACTTATAATTGTTGTCACACATTTCTGCTTAAGATTGGTAATTATAATTTTGGTTGTAAAGTTTTCATGGACAACAATGAACCGCTTTCTTCCTTGATCAATTTTAAATAATATAGCTGATCTAAATATATATTATAACATCATAGAATGCAGGCATCATGTGGTATGCTGAGACTTGAGGTCACGTGCCACAATCTCAATGCTTTAACCTATTCTTGCAAACTGGTAGAGATGTTGGTATCAAAGCAGCTGGCTAAGTGGTAAGTGCCTCATGGCTTGCTGTTATTGTGCTCAATAGTGAAGGCCTTATTATAGCCTGAGGTAGTTCAGCCTGTAATTTGCATTTTCTCATGTTCTTTGGTAGCACGAAAGAAACTGAAATTATTCCTTGCTGGCTGAAAATGCTGTTCAGGTTTTTGTGGAATAGTCAGTTCTAAAACACTGACGAGAATACTAAAGCAATTATTTGTTTTCCCTGACTGAGAATTCAGTTTCAGGTCTTTGTGAAGTCAATGAGAAAACACTCACCTGAACAATAAATTAATAATGCAGAAATAAAAATGGGAGTAGGGGCATTCCGAGAATCGAACTCGGGACCTCTCGCACCCAAAGCGAGAATCATACCACTAGACCAAATGCCCATGTTGAAATGACAAGGGATAAGTCAAAACCATATTACTTCTTTTATTAAAATTGTGTATGCATATGTCTGATCTGCAGTTTTACTATTGTTTATTCATGCTGCATAATCTTGAAATGACTAAAATAACAAGATGATGAAGGATGGGAAGAGTAATGAGTTAAAACCATGTCTAATAATTAAATAATTTAATCTAGATGTCAAAATAGGAGTTGAGACTTAGTATACTTGGTATTTTGACAAATCCATAATTGTTGTCATACATTTGTTTTTTAAGATTCATATTTTTGGTTGTCATGCCTTCAAGGACAAGAATTCAGAATTCCCTTCCTCATTGTTCATTTGAAATGATGTATTTCATCTAACAAAGTTATTTCATTATAGAATGTAGAGATCAAGTGGTGTACTGAAACTTAAGATCACGTGTCACAATCTGTGTTTTGACATATTTCTTACGAACTTGTAGAGGTATGGAAATCAAAGCAACTGGCCAAGGGCCTCACGCCTAGCTGTTCTTGTGCTCAATAGCGATGGCCTTGGTATAGCCAGGTAGGTTAGCCTGTGATTTGCATCTTCTTGTGTTCTTTGAATCTGGTAATAGAAACACCACCGAAATTATTCCTTTCTGGCTGAGAATGCAGTTCAGGTCTTTGTTAATAGTCATTGCAAAAGACTCATGATAAAATAATAAATTTGATTCCTATCTCTGGCTCAGGCTGCGGCCTGCGAATGCGATTTCATGTCTTTCTGAAGAGTAAATGACAAAACACTGCACATTTCATGTCTTTGTGAAGTGTGAATGACAAAACACTCATGAGAATAGTTATACTCATACAAAAATGAAGTTGGGGCATTCCGAGAACCAAACTCGGACCTCTCACACCCAAAGCGAGAATGTTACCAGTAGACCAAATGCCCTTTATGAAATGGCTTGGTCTAAGTTAAATCTATATCTAGTTTTTTCATACTAATTTTTTTAATGCATCTACCTTGCCTGCAATTTATACAGTTGCATCAAATTGACCAGACCTGCTTACCTGGATAGACAAATCTCAGAAATTCTTAAATGATTCCAACAGCAACTAGCTGCATAACCTATGTCCTTTCTTGGAAATGAAACACCGGATGAAGCTAATAATTCCAGAAAGTGCATTTTTTTGGGTAAGGTATCGAAGAGTTTATTATTTATTTCTCTGCCTTTATTTTAATTTTTCTATGACCAATTTTGACTCACAACAAGTCTTCTATTTCATTTTCAGTGCTAACTGCTAAGCTGTCAGAGTTCATGTATCACATAGTACGCCCCAAGGCATTCCATGCAGTCCCCTGATGCATATTGGTATTTGTCTAAGCCAGTTAATATGTCACAATCTTGTCAACTTCCATTCCTCAAAATACCTAATAAAAAGGGGCATTCCGAGAATTGAACTCGGGACCTCTCGCACCCTAAGCGAGAATCATACCACTAGACCAAATGCCCATTTTGAAAGAATTAAGGTTAAGTGAATTACATATCTAGTTTTTGTTATTACAAATTGTTTTTGAATGTTGCATGATCTGCTGTTTTAAAATTGTTATGCATGCTGCTGCATGATCTTGAAGGATTTGCATCTTCTCCTGTTCTTTGGTAGTAGAAATTCAACTGCAATTATTCCTTTCTGGCTGAAAAGGCAGTTTGTTGGCAATTATAAATTACCAATGCACAAATAAAATAAAAAAATGGGGCATTCCGAGAATCGAACTCGGGACCTCTCGCACCCAAAGCGAGAATCATACCACTAGACCAAATGCCCATGTTGAAATGAAATGGGCTAAGTTAAAAGCATGTTTAATTATTTTATTAAAATTTCTTTATCCATGCTGCAAGATCTGATTCATTAAAAAAATTTATGCATGTGTATGATCGTAGTTTTATTATTGTTTATTCATGCTGCATAATCTGTTCTTTCATGAAAATGGTTCACTGGATGAGACTACCAATTCATGAAGGGAACATGTTTTTAAGGTAAGGTGTCAGAGAGAGTTAATTTATTTACTAATCTGGATTTTTATTTCATTTTAATTTTTAAGACAAATTTTGGCTAACAACTGAGTCTTTTATTTCATTTTCAGTACCAACTGGCAACTGCTGAGCTGTCATTTGGTACTAAAAGACAACACTGCTCAATGTTCATGTTTCACCTCTTCTTTCCAAGGCATTCACATTTTGCCTCCTGATAATGCTTATTGATATTCAATTGCTGTTACAAAAGATTAATATTTCTGCAACTAAAAGTTATTTTTGGATTTAAGTAAATCACTCAAAAAATCAAGCTTGTCAGCTCCCAGATCTTCAAAGTAACTAAAAAGGGGCATTCCGAGAATTGAACTCGGGACCTCTCGCACCCAAAGCGAGAATCATACCACTAGACCAAATGCCCACATGGAAGTAATTTGTGCTTAGTTAAATCTATATCCACTAGTTCTTTCTTACCAAAATCATTTATGCTTGGTACATGGTCTGCACTTTTTATTATTAGCAAATGTTGTATGAAAATTACTAGATTTGCTTACCGGATATACAATTGTCAGGTGTTCTTTAATGATTCCAACAGCAAGTTGCTGCATGCCTTATGTCCTTTCATTAAAATGGAACACTGTGTGAAGCTAAAGATTCCTGAAACATCATTTTAGGTAAGGTATAAAAGAGTTCATTTATTTATTATTCTTGCTTTATTTTATTATTTCAAGACCAAATTTGACTCACAACAGTCTCTACTATTTCCTTTTCAGTGTTAACTGCTAAGCTGTCACTTGGTAGTTAGTACTGAAATACTTCCAGCCGATACTCAATTTCAATGTTCATGTTTCACATCGTTTACCTCAAGGCATTACATACGGGAGCACATCTTCTGTCCCACAAATTGTGTTATGTGTCACTTGTTGTGATTGGTCATAAAAATACTTAATTATTAAAATTTTAACTTAAATATTTTTTTTTAACCAATCATAACGTTGTGCGAGATGTGCTCCCATTCCATACAGCCCTCAAATACATATTGGTATAATGCTATTTAACTAAACCTTGTCAGCTTCCTGATCCTCAGGATACACAATAAAAAGGGGCATTCCGAGAATTGAACTCGGGACCTCTCGCACCCTAAGCGAGAATCATACCACTAGACCAAATGCCCATTTTGAAAGAGTTAAGGCTAAGTGAATTCCATATCCAGTTTTTGTTATTACAAATTGTTTATGAATGTTGCATGATCTGCTGTTTTAAAATTGTTTATGCATGCTGCTCATGATCTTGAAGGATTTGCATCTTAGTAGAAATGCAACTGCAATTATTCCTTTCTGGCTGAAAAGGCAGTGTATTATAAATTACCAATGCACAAATAAAATAAAAAAATGGGGCATTCCGAGAATCGAACTCGGGACCTCTCGCACCCAAAGCGAGAATCATACCACTAGACCAAATGCCCTGTTATGAGAATTCTAGTTTAATAATATGGCCTCCTTAATATGAGTGTTAAGGGATTGCACATATGATGCCTTTGCCCTGCATTTTTATTTTACAGTATAAGGGGTGGTCTGGAGCTTTGGTATATAGGCCCTCATGCATGTATGGTGTATTTTTTTTTATGTTTTAAATGTACCTACATAAAACTATTTAAAATACTCTCTCCCTTATGGTTATTAAAAATTCTTAATTAATGTGTGAGATTATTCTAAATTCGGACAAAATGGTTGCTGCATGGCCAACTCATGACTACATCTATATTAGTTGTTTATTCCATCCACATTTTACAGATAGAAATCTTTTTCAGGTCATCCGCAATTCACTGCTATCCACTTTCTGTTTTTTATCTCCTTTTCTCATTCTCATATCCGCATTGAAACTTGGAATGAGAAATAAAAAATAGGAGCAAAGGGGAGGAAGGAACAAAAAAAGAACGGTAGCCAATGCATGAGGCTCTACCTATTTGGATCTGAGGAGGAAGGAAACGTTGACAAAAAAACTTTGTAGAAGAGTGCGACTTTCCTCCTTTTCTATCTTTTGCCTGTTGATCTTTCCCTTCAAGGTTTGGTTACAGTTGATCGTAATACGAAGGCATGGCCAGCTTTGGAGGAACCACACAAAAGTGCATGGCATGTGACAAAACCGTGTATCTTGTTGACAAGTTAGCCGCAGATGGCCGTATCTATCATAAGGCTTGCTTCCGATGCCATCATTGCCGGAATACCCTTAAGGTATATTTACCAAAAAATATATTAATGTACATACAATATACATTTCCAGGTTGATCAATCTGAACTTTGTTTTCAGAAAATCTTGATTTGTAAACCAGACATACATAAACAGTGTATCCGCAGATAATCAATCATCAAATGGGGGAGATATATAATGGACTTACATATTTGTACTGATAGGGAGATGCATTATGAGAACCATTAATATGCATGTCACTATCTTTCCTAAGTTTGTTGTAAGTTGAGGGGGTGCTATACTGCAGACCTCACTATGATCAACTCTACAAGCGAACTGGTAGCCTTGACAAAAGCTTTGAAGGTAAAAATTACTCATAAACTCCAAAAATAAATTCCATGGGACCATTACTCATAATTTTGCTTCTTATTCTCATCACCAACAAGTGTTATTTCCGTGAATCAAACATTTGACATTTAGCCTAATATGATTCATGGTAATCTAGTAGAGTCTTACACTATTAAACTAACGTCTTGTTAATTTTAGCAAATATATATCATTTCCCTTGCGAAGTTTTTACATCATCATTGATCATTTTAACAGAATAGTAAAGTAGTGGCAAACATTTTCTTGGGCACCAAAGACAAATGTGTGGGTTGCAAAAAGACTGTCTATCCCATTGAGAGGGTAAACCATGATAGCTTTTCTTTCTGATTGTTCTTCTCCTCATTAGGTATTAATATACTGAGAATGTTATTATTATTATTCTATTAAAGGTTACGATTAATGGAAATCCCTACCATAAATGCTGCTTCAAATGTACCTACGGAGGTTGTACTATAAACTCAGCAAATTTTGTTACACATGAGGGGAAACTCTACTGCAAACATCATCACATTCAACTTTTCAAAGAGAAAGGGAATTACAGTCAGCTTGAGAATGAACTAGATAAAAATTCTATGACTGACATGGGAATTGATGCTTAATGTCTAAATTTAGAAGAATGTTGGCAGTACTCTTGTATGCAGCATGAAAACCAAGCTGCACATCAAATCAAACCGGAAGAGATCTCTAATTAGGGATGATAACCGGACCCAGCGGCTAGGGTAGTGCATACCCGTGCTTATAATTGCATTGCGGGTATCCATGGGAACTCAATGAGTTTTCAATTTTAATTATATTTTTTTATATTTTACAAAAACTAATATATACAAATAATTATTGCTTGAATAATATGATATGTATATGATAATTTTATAATTATAGTTTCATCACTAATTTTTTTTAATGAAATAATTAAAAGTTAACAAATATAGTGTTAAAATAATAATAATTAAGTATAAAATATATAAATATTTAATTAAAATATATGTGTGGATAGTTGCGAGACAGGTATTATGATATATGTTCTCACTCATGAACTATTTTTGTGGGTACTCATTATGGATATTTTGATGGGTACTCACAGGTCAGTAATTTTGCCATCCCGATCTCTAATAGATTTATTTGATTAGATTGTCTGGTTAGATTGGATGAGATATAATTAATATATAAATACATAATAATGTATAATTAGATATGAGATATACTCATTACATTTTTGTTGTTTTTTAACTTTAGTTGAACATTTTGGTTTGTTCTCCTGTTATTTTAGTTTAACTAGATTTAATACGGTTGAATCCGAATTTTCCTAGTTCAAAGTGATTCAACTCCTCGTTTGATTAAGACTATGAAATAGGACCATTTTTAAGTTTAGTTAACGATCACACAGATCGAACAATATGATATCATCTAATTTCACGAGAGAAATGTTATTATTTGGACAACATTATAATGTAATGTCTTCTTTAACAAATTGCATACTGTTGTTACCGTAACTTGCAGCAATTCTAAATGACACGAAATTATACTTACTGAGTCATGACCAGATCGCTCTGCCCAAAAATGTGCAAGCAGACTATCAACCACTTCGTCCCAAGGATAAAACAACCTAGTTCTATGTTAGTGATTTCTTACTGCATTGTAAGAATCGTTCTTAAATACATCCACCACTATATAGCTACCAGTGTCAATTCTCAAAATTCCCACAATATGGCTACCAGTGCCAATTCTATTCCTACAATCTGACTACCAGTGTCAGTTCTCAAAATTCCCGCAATTTGGCTACATGTGCCACTTCTTTTCCCACAATCTAACAACCAATGTCAGTTTTCGAACTTCTCACTATATAAATGTCTGTGCCAATTCTTAGTGCCACGGAAAGAAATGAGAAGAAGTTTGCCGGAAATGCATCGGCGAAAATTACGAGGGAGAAAGAAAAAGTTGAGTAAAAATATACTCAACTTGGTACAAGAAAATATGAAGGGGGAGACTTTTATTTATAGCATGAGATTTTGTGAAGACTCTTGCATCCTCCAATGTGGGACTTGTGAGATTTTTTCAAAATCTTCCAATGTGGGATTAGTAGCACAAATATTCTGTTTATTGAAGAAACAATAATGGTTTATCAACTTGAAGTAGAAAGTAAGATATCATAAAGTTACTATTAAACTCTCAAAAATGATTTTATTAATTAAAAAATTAATTAATAAAGACACTATTTTAATTAAAAGGGAATTAATAACAAAAGAGGTCGTGTTGTTTGTGAATGACTTATCATTCGAGAGATAATATAGATAATACTAATAATCATAATTGTTTCTCACTTGAAACAAAATGTAAGATACAAAAGCTATAACTTTACTATTAAATTTTCAAATTACTTTTACTAATAAAATGTTTTAATAGTTACTTAATAGGGTTAAGCTTGAAGAGACAACATTCAACTCCGCTCGTAGGAGATGACAAAAAGAATATTAATGACCCCAACCAGTGTTTAAAAAACCGTGCCGTACCGGCCGGTTCAACCGGAAAACCGGTGAACCGGACCCCTAACCGATACGGTACGTATGTTATACCGCATATGCAATAGAACCGGTCAAAACCGGTTGAAAACCGGTCAAAACCGGTGAAAACCGGTAAACCGGTCGGTTTGTACATTAATTTTTTTTTTAAAATTTCAAATTTTCAATTCTTCACCAATTCTTCAACTTCAATGATTGATACTTATGTCATTTATTTGTATTTTGCGTTTGTTAAGTGATAATTTTGGATTAATATATGTTTTGCACTTTAGACTTTGATTTTATTAAAGACTTAATGTTGTTTGTTTGTGTGAATTTGAAGTAAATTATGAATATGAATTATAAATATGAATATCTACTTATTTGAAATTTTTTGTTATAGGTTTACATATATATATATATAAGCAAGTATGTACAGTTTAACCGGCATGCGGTTTAATTATTGAACCACTGATTGAACCACTGTACCACTATACCACTATACCAGTACCCTAACCGGTTTGATAACCGGTATGGTTTTAATAACATTGACCCCAACAACTTCTTACTCACATCATGTGGAAAGATAAGACATTAACACTTCCTCTGAACCATTTTAAAATTAATTTAAAAACATTTATTTCTAAATTGTTTGATTATTATTATTTTAATTAATTATTTAATACTTGTTATTTTATTTATTATTTAATTATTATCATAGTTAAATAAAATATAAAAATGTTATTTATTATAAAAACAAATTAAATTGGTAAAAGAATAAAAAAAGGAATAAGTAAAAAAAAAAGTAAGAAATATAGTTTTTTTTGAGTCATATGTCACTTGTAAAATACCAACAAGATATTGATCTAGTAGTGTAAGATCATGCTAGATCCTCATAAAGGTTAAAAAGTTAAGTGTTCAATTTTTTAAAGGGACAATTATAGGAAAAGACAATCACACACCTAAAAGAAATCAATTTCTTTCTATAGGTTGAGAAGTATCATTGACAGTACAAAAAATATGTCAACTGCAAATTGCAGAGGCATGTAAACTATGATGGTGCGGGGTGGATGCGACATGTAGGTTTTAGTGTCGGCGCCCCGGAAAGCGTAGCTATATTAGGAGTATATGTCCCACTATGAATAAGCACCTAAAACAACACATGTATTCGCTGAATAGAAAAAAATATGTAGAAATATATTTATGTAATGACAACATTAATAATTTAATTCTAATTAATTATTGAAATAACACCAAAAACAAAAAGAAATACATTTGGCACCCGATTATATTATTCTCTATCTCACACATATTGAGTATGGGTGGCTATAGAATGAGCTAAGGTTGATGATAGTATAAGAGGGATTTGGGTAGAGGTGCATGTGCACGTGCAG